CCCCAAAACCCCAAAACCCCAAAACCCCAAAACCCCTTAAGAATGATATTAGAATGTTTGACAAGAAATAATTGACAAATTAAATCAAACTAATAGATTCTTACGATGTATTATTAATAAGGTAATTGATTTATTTGGGAATATTGAAACTGTTATACGATATATAACTCCAAATATAAGCATAGAATACTTTTATTGATCATGAATTTATAGCGTTTTTATTGTTTTTATTTCGTCCACTAATTTGATTCATAGGTCTAGCAAACATCTTTTTACACAACCAATCCTATACATCAAACTAGCTTTGATTATTTATGATATTTTGAATTTCAGCAGGAAGAAACTCCCCCATTTCTTTTTAAATATCTACATATTCATATAGGTTCAAATTGCTATTGTAGTTATTATTATTGACATTATTGCTGACCATCTGAAGCTGAGAACAAGTAAGGAAGCCTTTCACCACGAAAAATCTATGGGACTAGAAATAATTCAAGTTTCCTCCAGGGATGTCATTCCATACTATTTTTTAATTAATCTATGCATCAGTCATAGGGTGAGTTTACAAGACTTCTTCAGTTGTTAACTACATCGAAGGACCTAAGTATTTTTTGCGGTAGTTCTAGATGAAATTATTATTGAGATTCTCATTTGCACAGAGCATTGATTGATAGCTGAAAAGTTAAGTGATCGCTGGGTGCATCTCATCATAGGTACTTGGCTAAGGATTTTCAAAATCCATCATTGCTTTACACTTCTTATATACAATAGTATTTTTCCTTCTTGCAGTTTTATCTCTTAGAAAATCCTCTAGTTACTCTCTTTTATATATGTTTTGTTATATTTCCTTGATTTCTACTGTCAATACATCTTTGAGATTCTATACCAAAGGACTCTTGAGATTCTTAGATTCCTAGATATGGTAAAATAGCTCAAGAAAATTTAACTTTATGTGGTCGTGTCTACCTTTAGGGCTTCAAGATTTCTTACGTCTTCCATGATAAAAGTCTGAATTCTCAATAGATGTACTCTACATCGACCTATTATTAATAGCACTTGTATCATTTTGAATTTCAACGTTTTGATTATCATTAAGTTTATTGCAGTCAATCTAATAGTACTTCATGTTTTCTATGCATTTGACAATATGAATGAAGTTGCAATTGTTAGTTTCTAGTTTCAAGTGTGGAACTATCAAAGTCACTGGATTTACTTTATTGGATCTTCCTGTCACTTCAGATTTTGAGCTTAGCCCACTACATCCTTCTCTAAGTAAATTAGCATATGTATTTTACAATAATATGTTAGAGAAATTAGAAGACTTAGAAGAGGGCTCTTGACCGAAAGAATAATTTTAGTCATTTTTAAAGTCCTTATAAAATTCCTATTTATCATAAACCTCCTTGTTGTACGATCCAATGATCTAATTATAATATTAATTCTAAAGTATACTTACCATAACATTAGAAATTATTTTTTCCTCATCATCTACATCAAAATCTTCAAAGATCTATTGGTATCTGTACCACCTTTCCTATGTCTTTCCAAGTTACTTCTACCTTAATGTATAAATAGCGTCAATAGGGCATCCTTGATGCTTTTCGAGATAAGTTACTATTACTTTCGCTCTTTTTGTTGCATAAGGCATAACAACTACAACTTATGCCCATGAATATAGCTTTCTAAGTGCTATAATAGAACCATACCTCAATCTGAAATTATTATAACTTGAATACTAGTTTGTATCACCAATTATTCCATCATAGTAAATGATTATAAGATTTTTTTCTTTCATTCTTTCTCTTCTTCTAAAAAGAAGTCTCTTAGTGATTCCAGATTTATCTCCAGTATTAGGCTGCATCATTTTTTCATTTGTTGGTTATCTTCGAGACAGTAATGATTTTCTGTTTAGTACCGGACTATTGATATTCTTATTCTAAACCATTTTTGAAGGAGACAATGATACTGCATTATTGATATGCTAAGCCTATGGTATATTTATCCTCTAGATATTAAGTACATTTTATTTAAAACTGCTCAAAGCCATATTTTTGACGTCATCATTTGCAGTCATATTCATATTGATCAATACATCATTTCTTTGATTTACAAAACTTCCAGTATTATGTCCTAATCCAAATTTTATTTTAGAATCCTCGGATAGTTCACATTTGGTATCAGTACCACTAAGCTTTTTTAGATGCTAATTCTTCTCTATTTAGACCTATCTAAAGCCTGGCGTTTAACATATCTTTTCTTCTAGAGAATTCTGATTTTTTGTTAAAGGTTTTATTTAGAGCATTTTTTATTTAAGTATGTGCTTTTATGGAGTTTATTTCGTAATTGACATTGAATCATGCAATTGAGCTATTGCTAATGCTGCAGACTTTCTTTTGTCTCCCTTTGATGGGAGGCTTAACTTCCCGCTCAATTATTATGTATAGTCAGATATCACTTATTCATGGCTATTGTTCGAGTCATTCTCTTAATTAGGATCATTTGAACCTCTCCGACTAGACATTCTATTTTACTTAATGGGACTACCAGTGTTAACAACTGATGATAGCATATCAACCTTAATTTCCTTCCTTTTGAGTTCTCTGTAGTCTGATTCGATATTGATTCTTTGATTTTAAGAAGTTCTTAGCTGCTAAATTTCAAAGTACTAGGGAAATATTTCTATAGCTTCCTCTAACTTATTTTCTTAGTTAGATTTTTAAGTATAAATAGGATCCTAATCACATGTTTATTACTGAATTTCGGCCAAAGGCAGTGAGGCTAAACTTTGTCTTTGTTCTGAAATAAGCTGTTCAAGGCATTTCTATGACTGTTAAAAGACTTGTGAATACTAGGATTGCTAGCTTAGCTAGCCTTAGGAAAAGAGATGAGCTGATTTGTTAGTATCGTTATATATCAGATCTCTCCCGAATTTCTAATCTCTGCTAACAATTATATCATTCTACAACCAATTTTGCATATCCTTATGCAGTAATTTATTATTGGTACTGAGACCAGAATCAGCATAGTGATCTTATCTACTAGATACCTATTGAGACTAACGGCGTTCCATAAAATCTTTATTCTGCATTTAGATCAATGACTAGACCATTTGTGTTAGATTATTTTCTCTTTGTAAATCAGACTTGAACAAATTAGATTCTTAAGAAGTAATATTCCCGTCTGTTAAATGTACATCCTGATTAAATTATGAGATTTTCCTTCTTTAGACCTAAGGGTGCTTAAGTAATCCATTTATGCTCCTTTTAAGCAATTTACTTGGTGATGAACCACTTTCTTACGATTAGAGTACACTTCTGTTTGGTTTTGGTGGTGACTCATTAAGGTTTGAGGGTATTTATTAATTTCTAAGATTTAAATTAGGCAATTAAAATCCTCCTTCAAATATCCCTCCAATTACTTCCTGATTAATAATTTCCGACCCCCTCATGCTTGTAGCTTTAACATTGCTTTATTGCTGTTAAAAATTTCCATATTAAGTGTTATAAAAGGATCCAGATTTCTTCTGTTAATTATGATTAAATTCACCTGTATAATACAATTAATGCACCTATTACTCTTGTTTATACTCCATGATATGCTGAAATTTTTGTGACCTCCGTTACATAGATACCTTTTTCAATTAATCTTAATCATTATGGCTGTTCTAATTAGCTTCGCAGTGCTTCATCTACAATTGTAACCTTTGCTATTTTGAGTCAAAATTGGGCTCGTTATTTTGATTTTCCTAGCGAGTTAGTTTAGTAGTCTTCGAACGGAGTTTAAGATTTTTCTTTTTTAATAAGCTCTATATTTCATTGAAATTATTGTCTACTTAATGGTTATAGTTTTTTTAAACACTGAAAACCAAATCATTATTGGGACTTCTATTTTGAGGAAGTGAATTTTTAGGGTTAGGCGATCCTCCTTGATTTAGCTATAGGGCAGTGAACTAGCTTTATGCTTATTATCCTGGTATGTTAGACAGAAATCTTCACATATGATGGCTGCCTGATTAAGCATTCATTTAAGTTACATTGGAGTTTCTATTTTTGAGCTATGTCCTCTCCTCATTAATATTGTGATTCAAAACTTTTTACCTTGATCCCTTTGGTGTAAAATTGCTATTAAGTTTTTATTGAAATACTGATGGTTGCTTTTGTAAATTATTGCTGCTGGAATTAGTCCCATTGATTTAAGTGATCTATAGATAGAGCATACTAGAGTCCATTTCTATATCAGTGTAGTTATCTACAATCTGAACTGAATTGGGCATGTGATGAAATCCATGCTGAGTTTACTTCTTGCTTAATAGGGTCCCCTAAGTAGTTTGAGCTATTTGATTGTTTTTTGAAGCCAACTAAGCCTACTTCAAATAATTGAATTCCATATTGTATCGGAGAATTTATTAAGGTGTATGAATCATATTTTGAGGCAATGGAACTGACTAATTTCTCATTAATATAATTTATTAATGATTTCCTTAATTTATATTTCTTCAATCACTTTGTCATACTTACACTTAATTTCTATATAATGGGGTTTTGGGGTTTTGGGGTTTTGGGG